ATTGGAGGAATATATATGCGAGCTATATCTAATTCTGAACCAATTTCAACAAAGCATAGCACATAACATTCTAGAAACAGTTCTATACCCTCTGCCAATCTTCGTATAAGTCGAACATACATGGGTTCTATGGTGCAACATTTACATAAAATAAGACGAAAATATATATTAGAGTTGTATCTAAAATTGAGCACATCATGTGCGGCATTCCCAATTTCGCCTTAATAGAACAAATATTGTGTTTAAGCGCATCATTTAATAAAATCTAATTAACATACATGAGAGTTATTTCTAAATTTTAATCGATAGCAACTAAACTTAAAACATGTCACTCTGGATTCAATTCGGTACACTATGGAAAAAATATACAATATATCAATATATCATTTTTATAGGATCGGCCAAACATATGCATGGGAGTTATATCTAAATCACAATTGAATTATACAAAACTTCTTAACGGGACCACCCCCTCGCCCCCCTTTTCGGTTACCAAAAATTTTATTTTATATTTTGACTTAATTCGAACCTAAACCAATTCAAGAATGCCCCTATAAAATTTTAATATAGCTCCCATATATATTTTGTTGCGATTTATATTATATATCTTTCGATTTACGCAAATTTTGGCACAGAGTATTTAATTGAGTCTAGAATGATGTGTGTAAAGTTTCCCAAAAATCGGTTCAGATTTAGATATAGCTCCCATATATATTTTCGTCCGATTTAATGTAAATGGTAGACTAAATCGGTATCTTCCGATTTACACGAAATTTGGCATAGCGTACTGAATTAAGTTTAGAACCAGTAAGGAAAGTAGTAAAGTCGGACGGGGCCGACTATATGATACCCTTCACCACTATGGGTATATTAAACAGGACTATTAACATGAAATTGGATGAAATAAAATATGTGATATTTATCTAAATGTGAATCTACCAAGATCTATCCATAAAGTATGAAAATCGACTTCAAACAAATATAAATAGGTCATCCGTTGGGCTATGTCTGTACTTCTAGCAAACGCAACTACGTAATTCAATGCTCAATTTTGTACGTTGTATAAAATTTGATGTCAATCTGACTAACTTGAGGAGTTTGATGCCCAATTTACTTCAAATCGGTCGAAAATATATATGGAAGCTCTATCAAAATATTAAGCGATTTCAAACAAACTTGTCACAGGTGAGGTTATACTATTTTTAGAACGTGTGGTTCCTATTGGTTCCTTAGTACTTCAATTACTTAAAATCAATCTATAATAAAAGGGAGCTATATCTAAATTTGGACCGAAACTTGGCAGACATCATTCTAGGCTCAATTAAGTACGTTATGCCAAATTTCGTGCAAATCGAAGGATATATAGGGACTTTGGTGCACCATTTACATGAAATCGGACGAAACTATATATGGGAGCTATATCTAAATCTTGACCTATTTTCACGAAACTTGGCAGACATCATTCTAGACTCAATTCAGTACGTTATGCCAAAATTCGTGCAAATCGAAGGATATTTAGCGACTTTGGTGGACCATTTACATCAAATCGGACGAAATTATATATGGGAGCTATATCTAAATCTGCACCGATTTTCTCCAAACTTGGCAGACATCACTCTAGGCTTAATTTAGTACGTTACGCCAAATTTCGTGCAAATCAAAAGATATATAGGGACTTTGGGCACCATTTACATGAAATCGGACGAAACTATATATGGGAGCTATATCTAAATCTGGACCGATTTTCACGAAACTTGGCAGACATCATTCTAGACCTAAATGATTAGGCTGTACCAAATTTCGTGCAAATGAAAGATATATAGGGACTTGGGGCACCATTTACATGAAATCGGAAGAAACTATATATGGGAGCTATATCTAAATCTGGACCGATTTTCACGAAACTTGGCAGACATCATTCTAAACCTAAATGATTAGGCTGTACCAAATCGAAAGACATATAGGGACCGTTTACATTAAATCGGTTAAATATATATATGGGAGCTATATCCAAATCTGAACCGATTTTTGCCAATTTCAATAGGGTTCGTCCTTGGGCCGAATAAGTGACCTATGCCAAATTTCATCCAATTCGGATCATAAATGCGACCTGTACTTTGTTTACAATATAACATGGACAGACAGACGGACAGACGCACGGACGGACATGCATAAATCGACTTAGAAAGTGATTCTATGCATATTCTCAAAAGGAACCATGTGTCTATCTCGTTTCCTTTTGCCTGTTACAAACATATGCACAAAGACATAATACCCTGTACCACAGTGTGGTGAAGGGTATAATGATGTGTGCTATGTTTCCTGAAAATCGGTTCAGATTTAGATATAGCTCCCATATATATTTTCGTCCGATTTAATGTAAATGGTGCACCAAACTCCCTATATATCTTTCGATTTGCACGAAATTTGGCATAGCGTACTGAATTAAGCCTAGAATGATGTGTGTTAATTTTCGTGAAAATCGGTTCAGATTTAGATATAGCCCCCATATATATTTTCTTCCGATTTAAGGTAAATGGTGTACCAAAGTTCTTATATATCTTTCGATTTACACAAAATTTGGCACAGCGTACTGAATTAAGCCTAAAATGATGTATTTTAAGTTTCGTAAAAATCGGTTCTGATTTAAATATAGCTCCCATATATATTTACGTCCGATTTTATGTAAATGGTAGACTAAAGTCCTTATATATCTTTCGACTTACACGAAATTTGGCATATCGTACTAAAGTAATTCTAAAATGATGTGCAGTAGTGTTTGGCGGGTTATTTGGGATACCAATGATGTGCGCTAAGTTTCATGAAAATCGGTTCAGATTTAGATATAGCTTCCTCTGATCTAATATTAATGGTGCACCAAAGTCCCCACATATCTTTCGATTTGCACGAAATTTGGCATAGCGTACTGACTTGGTTCTAGAATGATGTGTGTAAAGTTTCCTGAAAATCGGTTCAGATTTAAATATAGCTTTCATATATATTTTCGTCCAATTTAATGTAAATGGTGTACCAATGTCCCTAGATATCTTTCGATTTTCACAAAAGTTTGCAGAGTGTATTGAATTGAGTCTAGAATGATGTGTGTAAAGTTTCGTGACAATCGATTCTAATTCAGATATAGCTCCCATATGTCTTTTCTTCCGATTTTATGTAAATTGTGCACTAAAGACCCAAAGTTTGTCGGATTGGCACACAATTTTGTACAATGTACTGGTGTTAATATATATCAAACTCTGGCAGGTCTCGTTGAAGTCGGTTCAGATTTGAACAATGTGTCGAATTGTGACGAGAATGACGTTATTGCGTTTTGTTGAAATTGGTTCAGATAGAGACACATCTTTCATATAGGTAGTACGTTCGAGTTCGTTCAATTTCATATCAACGTTCTTTCGAAAAGGTGACATCTCTTAGAAGACATATGTAGGATATACCCAAAGTGGTGAAGGGTATCATATAGTCACCACAGGCCGACTTTACTATTTTCTTTACTGGTTTGTTTTGTTTAAGGTGAAATTATGTTTAGTGTTTTTAAAATTGACGGGTTGCTAGTGTTGTTAAAATCGGTTCAGATTTATACCTACGAATGTTCAAAAATTGTCATTTTTCATACAATATCTTCATGAATGTATTTGCTGAAGAGTTCTCTTAATTTTCACAGATTTTGAATGCCGTTATACTTTGATTTTATTCACAGAAGCTAAAATATTAACTGTTTTCCTTTCAGTTAACTTAGATGGACCGTAAGTAGCTGGCTTGGACAAAATAAAACCAGCCGATTTGTAGTTCTTAACAAAGTATAGACGAATATTTCTTCCCACAATTTTTGTTTACCTTTTGTGATTAAATATTTTCATCCAGAAATCATACCTTCTACCCTACCCCAGTAGAGCAATGTTAAATGAATTTGCTTCTTCAAATTAAATAAAAACACAAATCATATATTTTTTTGTTTATTTAAAAAATTATATATTTTTTTGTTGTTTCATTTTATTTAATTATAGTTTTCTTTATTTGTTTGTTTTTCTTACAAAATAAATTTCATATTTACTTTAAATATAGATTGGTATTTCGTTTAAATTAAAGATTATGTATACTTAAATGCATAAATACATACATGTATATATATAGAGATTTATCTTAGAATAATATTTCTTTGCTATATTTGTTTTTTTTTTTTTTTTTGCATTTCACATTATTTGAGCATTATATTTCCTCAACTGTTTGAATTCGTATAAATTTTGTTTTGCTATGAATCAATTTTTCCCTTGGTAATGCATGAATTGAAAAGTCACAAAAAAATGGGTGAATGTCTTTATTTGAATTTTTGAAAAGAGATTTAAAATTTATTTTATCGGAAATAAGTTTTTTTTTTCAGAACACTTTTGCAGTTAATTTGGAATTATTTATCGCGCCCATGACTTTTCAATCCATGATTTGGTTTTCATACATTTCACAAATTGATTTTATTTCATTTATTTATTTCTATTATTTTTTAAGGTAAACCTTCTATACACTTTTACAATTTTAACACGTTTTGTTATTTTTTTATAATGTTCAATTATAATACAATAGGATTTGTTTACTATTTGTTTCATTGTTTTACATTTTAATTAAATAATATTACAAAATATATTTAAGTATATTTTTCATCATATTTATTTTTGTTTGTTTTGTTTTTCTTGAAAGTGGCACTATGAAACACAAAAACTTATAAATAAATCAGGTTTATTTTGTGGATTTGTTTGTTGCTGTTATTGTGTAGTTTGGGTGTGTCTGTGTTATTGTGTACGTGTGTGTGTTTGTAATCCTTTTGAATTTCCTGTTCTTTTTTTTCTTGTGTGAGTGTTTGTGTGCGTGTTTTTTGAAATCCAAATATTACCTTAAGGATTGTATACTTCTTCCTTTTCGTGTTGCTGTTGTTGTTCTTGTGTTCTTTTGTTTGTGTTGTGCTTGTATGTATGTACGAGTATATATATATTCTAATTATTATAAGTCCTCCTCTTAACTTGTTAATGTTTTCATGAAAAGATTCCTTGAACAATTTGTGAATACCAACATAAATGCACAAAGCTAATTAAGACAACACTCGTTGAGAAGGATAACAATTTCAAGGTGTTGGTTGAACTCGCTGAAGACCATGCCGAAATTTCGGCATCATTTGAGCTCATAAAGTTATTAAAGAAATCTGAAAATGAAAAACAAAAAATGTGTATATTAAATAAGTTATTAGTAATGAAATTAGAAATAATTTAATGTAATAATAGTTGGCAAAAATAATCGAGATAGACCCATGGTTCCTTTTGAGAATATGCATAGAATCACTTTCTGAGTCGATGTATGCATGTCCGTCTGTGCGTCCGTCCATGTATTTTTGTGACCGAAGTACAGGTCGTATTTCTGATCTGAACTGGATGAAATTTAGCACAGCTCATTTCTTTGGTCCAACGACGAACCCTATTGAATTTGGAGAAAATCGGTTCAGATTTAGATATAGCTCCCATATATATTTTCGTCCGGTGTACAAAAGCCCTTTATATCATTCGATTTGCACGAAATTTGGCACAGGGCAATGAATAAGGTCTTTAATATTGTGTGTTTCATGAAAATCGGTTTAGATTTATATATAGCTCCCATATTTAATTGCGCCCGATTTTAGGTAAATAGTCCACTAAAGTGCCTGGAAATCTTTTGATTTGCACGAATTTTGGCACAGCGTAATGAATAAGGTCTAGAATGATGTGTGTTAAGTTTCGTGAAAATCGGTTCACATTTATATATAACTCCCATATATATCTTCGTCCGATTTAAGGTAAATGGTGTACCAAAGTCCCTATATATCTTTTGATTTGCACGAAAATCTGTTTAGATTTAGATATCCGTTTAGATTTAGATATAGCTCCCATATATAGTTTCGCCCGATTTTCGGTAAATGGTGCACCAAAGTCCCTGGAAATCTTTCGATATGCACGAATTTTGGTGTAGGGTTTTGAATTAGTCTAGCTTCATGAAAATATCCATAGCTAGGCCGATTGACACAACGTACTGAAGTAATATAAATTAGTCTCTGGCAAGTTTCCTTGAAATCGGTTCAGATATAGATCGGTTCATATATATATATATAAACGCGAAGGCTGTTAGGATACATATGTAGATTATACCCAAAGTGGTGAAGGGTATTATATAGTCGGCCCAGTCCGACTTTTCTACTTTCCTTACTGGTTAAAGATTTAATTTGACCTATTATAATTATTTTTATGAAGATATGGACTTAACATAATTTACTTTACATCGCAGGCATAATTGTAGGATTTATATCAAAACCTCAATACATTCAAAAACCAGTGAGCGAAGCAGTAAAGTCGGAGAGGGCCAATCAGAAACTAAGAGCTCAGTGGTAGTTACGTAAGATAAACTACCACTGAGCTCTTAGTTTCTGCGGATCTATATTCCAGGGCCCGTTCAGACCCTGTTCTCTGCGTAAAATATCGTGATGTTCGGGTCATAATTGCGGTCTATAGAGCTACTAGAAAACCAGATAAAAAGGGGCTTCTTTGGGTAGAAAACTTTCTACATGCAAAATTTCATGGCGATTGGTCTATAACTGTGGCCTGTTGCGTGTTTAGATATTATAATGGACAGACGGACGGACACACATGTGTATATTGACCAATATTTCGCGACGCTACAAATTCTTGGAGGCACACAAAGCTATAATACCTAATGTTGTAAATTTACTCCATAGCCGAGACCAAAACTGACAAAACTGAAAGAAGATAAATTTAGGGTCTCGCAGAAAACATTCAAAAGTGAATCCGAGTTTAAGAAGCGCAACATCAACTCAACTTTCCGAGTCATTATACAAATGTAAGACAAACTTAACTGTTTTGGAATGTCGAAAGAGAAAAGTCGTTGATGGGATGAAGATGCAAAAAGTGAGTGAGGGACATTGCGAAGCTTACGACAAGAAAGAAACATCTATCTGGGAAACATAGGAGGAAACTGGACCGCAGGAAAAAGGAGAGTAACAGACGAATGTCCAGAAGAGCAGACGAATACCAAACCTAGGAAGAAGGAATGATCTTCCCATCAGCTGATACACAGAGAAAACTGGTTTAATCCAAATTTGAAGGCGAATTGCACGATAATCCATTGATGAAGGGCGGCACAGCTGATTCCGAATAGTATAACGAATATAAGACCAACATAACTATATTTGAATGCCGAAGGTATCAGCTCCTTCGGTGGTTAAAGAAGTAAGCGAGGACATAGTCAAGTTCACGAAAAGAAAGTAGCACATATCTGGGCACAGAGGCGGGAACTGGAGAAACAAGTACGAACAGTTCTTTTTAGTAGGCGTATACTCAAAAGGATCATCTGCCGCAGATCATCTGCTGTAATAACAACTCCTTATTTATATGGAAAGCTGTAAGTTCAGGTTCAAAAATAATATAACCCCTGAGACAAAAGGGTATTTCTCAACTAAAATGTAAACTTTCTTCGTCAGAGGATGAGGTAGCGATTCCACAAAAGAACGTATGCTCAATGTTTTTGCCGGCAGAACATGTCATTCATGATGAAGAAGTGAAAAGTCTTCCACATGAATAAGAAACTAAAAAGGGGACTCTCCTAGTGGTATGGATGGCAAAGTCTTCAATTGTAAGGCTAGCCAACTCTTCTTTAAAATTGGGAAGGCAATAGTAGGAGAGGAGAGTATCAACAAATTGGGCAAATACTCAGCAATAAAGGTGAGTGAGGCGCGAAACGGTTCAGATTTAGATATAGGTCTAATATATATTCAGATAAAAAAAGCTCCGAGTCCGGGTTTTTCTAAAGTATTTGAGATAACAATAGTAAAATATTGCAGTTGCCGTGCATTTGCATTTCTATTTGAAAGGATTTTAACTATCGATAAGGACATTTTAGAAAGTGTGTCAGACTACAACTCGATCGGTCCCAGGTAAATCTTCCGTCCCCTCCATATGAAATGCATTCCAAGGCCACATTTGAATAAACAACCTGGGCATAAATATTAACACATGACTATAACACAAAACAACAATGGCATGTCGTTATATGCGGAGAAAAAATATCAGCTCTAACATAAGTAAGCAACCCTATCACGGCACAAAATTCAAGGAATCATTGTCTCTAGCACCAATAGATGGCAGTCCCATCACCTAGGCCAACATTTAAACGGCACTGAAACGCTTAATATATTATTAGAAGCCTTTCGAGTTGATCAGACAATCATAGACTGGGTCTGGCATGTGCTAATAATGGAGAACTGTAGCCTATAATATATAGATATCAGGGACAAAGTAGGACTGGTTACACCACAAGGAAAGATTCTGTCAACACTTCTGTGGGTCAACACTATTAATGATCTCTTAAGAATTTTAACCGACGATGACAATAATAATAATTTGTCTGAGGGAAAATAATCGTAACTTTTTATGTAGAAAGTCTCAAGGCGTTAAAAATCGCCTTTAATTGGGCGATGTTGATAGGCCTTAACGTGAATCTCGGCAGGATGGAGATATGTCTTTTTACCGAAAAGCCAAAAATAGGACGAGCTTTTCTTTCAAAAAATGTGATAGCCATATCGAATAAAGTTTAATATTTGGGAGTCATCCTAGACAGAAAACTTATGTTGAAAGCCCACTTGCAAGAACGAGTTGACAAAGCCCACAGATGCTGGTCATAGAGTCATAGGCTCTAAATTGGGTTTCAATTCAGATATTCTACACGGAATCTACAAGAGCTTTAGCAGGCCAATTTTCTAACTTTAATTCCTTTCTAGAGCGCACAACAGGCTATTTCAGTTAAATGTATGTCTTATTATTGAACATGTGGTAGTGTAAACAATCCCTCTATTAAAACTGATCGTTATTTATTGTGAAAGTTCTATGCTCCAAATAACATTATCTAAATATATTTAAAATATATGTTTTGAATGTTTCAGACAGTCTGTATAATTGAATGATATATTTCACCTATTTGTCATTTATCTTAACATAATTTATTCCCAAAAGCTGTACTTACCCGTTATTTGCGTAAAATACGTATCCTCCTTCCGCAGCATTTCACCATCTTGCAGGGCATATTGATCATAATCATTTTCATGATCTGTTGGTATCATATTCACTGTATTGCTTGCCAAATATTTATGATGATAGTCCATATCCAATAACGTTTTCTCCGATGATTTGTGATAAATATCACCGATTTCAGCTATGCAACGGATCTAAGTGTAGATTAAAAAAATATATGTTGATTATTTTAAAATGTTTTATAGACAACAAAATGTATGGCAACATTGATTGTAACACAATAACTGCACTTACCTTTAATTTGCCATTTTCAAAATGATATTCATTTATGACAAAATGTAAACCAATCGTTGCTGTTTGCATATCATTACGTGAATCTCGATGGATTTTATAATGACGCACATAGGATGGATGGATCTGGAATGATATGAATATAGAATTTTGAAAATATTATTAGCAATATTACATTTAAATATTATTTTTCTAAGAATCTAAGAAATATATTTTTGGATATTCCCCCAAAAATTCGGTATAGGTTTTAGGAGATTCTCTAAAGGGTATTGTTAAAATTTGTTGCTTTAAATTCCCTTTCATTATGCCATTGATTTTATTTTTCTGTTTGTAATAAACTTCAATACCAACTCCAATAAATCCCATCAATTCCCTCCAAAAAATCAACCTTTTGCAAATCAAGTTTAAATATTCAAAAAACATTATCGATTTTATTTTTCGCTCGGCCCAAAACAAACGCGGTAATTTCAGATGGACCATTAGTAATACTAACAACGTACCTGGTCAAACACCAGCCGCAGCCATAACAAAAATGAGTTTTATGCCATTGGTGATGTTGATGGACGAAATGAACCAACTAACGAAAGAACGGAAACTACGCATATCACAATGGTCGGTCGGTTGGTGGCTCGGTCAGTACGGTCGACATGCTAAATTTCGCAAATACAAATAATTACATTGGAATAAACTCCCTTTGGTCAGGCACAAAAACGAAAACAAAAAAAATCTAAAAATCCCTCTCGACAACTTCACTAAATGCAGAACACATAAACGTACCCATCCAGCAACAACAGCACAAAAAACAAAAATGTTCGTTCATCACAAATGCAGGAATAATAATAACCAAACTCATAATCAATGGTCAATGTTTGGTTGCCTGGTTGGCAAACTGGTGCTGAAGATGGAATAGTCGAGTTGACGTAATACGAATATACGATATACCCATCATTCGTATAGCCGCGGTGTGCCAACAATACTAATGAACAAGCACAATCCATTGACCATAAGAGAGGTATATTTAAATTTCTTGTTGGCAGGGATGGAGAAATGTAATTGCCATTTCATGTGATTAGTCTGTTATTTTTATTTATTTTTTTTAATTAAAACACACTTTTATAGTTTTTAAAAAATATTATTAAAAACTTTACATTATCATACCCCTTAAAATATTTTGTAAGAAAATTAAAAATGTATCTAAATAATAAACATTCTAGTCCACCAACGTAGCCAGGGGCCGAAATGAGGATTGATTTTTTAATTTTTATACAGATATTGGATTTTTCGTATCAATATATCATTAACAACAAAATTACATACATTTTTGCAAAATTACGAATTTGTTTAGTGCAACTGCAATTGCATTTCGAAATATATTTGAGTACATGACTTTTTGAGAGTAAATCTATAATTTTGGATGCATAGATTAAGAAAAAATGTTTTTATTATAACCTCCGCCTTACGGCTAATGAGGGTATATATACTTTGCTACGGCAAAACTGTACCTCATCGAAATTTGGTTTTATACTTCATGGTTCTTTGAACCAAATCCGTTTCAGACAAATTGGACTCATTAACAAATATCCGCCCGTCCATCTGCGTGTCTGTCAGGCTGACTGATCTGCAAGATAACTCTCGAAGGTACTAACCGATTTCCTTCAAACTTTGCACATAGTAAAATTTCTTCCAAACTTAAATCAAGCTAACCTACAAAATGGTAAACATGTTGATGAAAGTTAATTATAAAATATAATGCGAACTGACTATCCGATTTCAACTAAACTCTGCAAAACATAATATTTTATCGAAACCTGTATAATGTTGGAAGATGGGACTCATTAGTCCACTCCTTCTAGTATCAATATTTCGAATACTTGTAAATCTCATATGAAGCGAACGCAATAGACTTATTTGTGCACTCATTCTAGCTCATCCCCAACAAAGGTTGAATATTTTGAGAGCTTTTAAAGCTCATATGCTCATATACATCAAGAACCGTGTATATGCCTCCCCAATCTATTTTGGATAAAATTATTCACGTATCGCTATATTAGGTCAAAGTTCGGAGATATTGCGTTATATTAACCAAATATGTTAAAAAATAAATTTCGAGAAAAAAGAACTTGGTTTCTAAATTTTGAACCGGGTAGTCAGATAATAAAACCGATAATAGACCGGTTCAATATATTTTGCACGTTTGTTTACTAGCTTTCTTATGATATGCATATACGGTATTGAAACCGTAATTATTATCCGAATATCCGGTTGAAACGTTTTAGAAAAACCGGTTCTTTTTTTAGAAAATAATTCGGTTTACCTCATTCGATTTTAGGTCAAAAAATATGTATAAATATCTATCAGTTCTATAGAAAAATTAAAATAACTAAACAATTCCATCCCTGATCTGTTATATGCCAATGGAATTTATGTTCTCGCACATTCAAATGTATACCAACAGCTACAGCTAGCATATTTGTATGCGTTTCTAATAAACGACTGAACATGTGAAACATATAAATTTTGCACGCAATACGTTGCGCATTTATTCCGGAATATGCCTTATAAATGTTTATATTTATATACAAAATAAAGCGATTATACACGCGGAATTCTCAAATTACGTATTTGCAGATTTGAACACGGCTGGCCTCAGTAGATTCAGCACGTAAAAAACTAAAATCACGCGGGGTTCAACCCAATAAATAGGTTTTTTTATAAAAATGTTCTTGAGATATACATCAATCGAAGTGAAATCACGAGTCCTACGTTCCTATAATAAGTTTAGGGCTTCAACTAGCTCGTCCGAAAACAGGGAAATTTCGGCTTCAAAATGTCAGCATCCGGTTTAGTTGAATGTGGTGGAAATATCGAAAAATCAAACATTAGAGCTATATTGTCAATATCGTGTTCTTCAATTCAGTCGTTGAGCACAAGTCTGTAAATTGTGTATTTTAGTCATAAATTAACAAAAGACAAAAAATTGTTGGCTTCATCATATTTTACCCATTTTTACACCCTCCATTGTTGTATGTTTGTTGTTTTTCAAAATAATCGTTTCTGACCCCATGAAGTATATATATTCTTGATCAGTGTAAAATTCTAAGACGATCTAGCCATGTCCATCAGTCTGTTGTAATCACTCTAGCATCTGCAGAAACTGAGCTAGCTGTCCAAAAATTTGCACAGAAGTGACAGAGCTATATCAGTCGACGTGAAGGCATATCCCCCATATAACGGTTCCTCCAAAATCTCTATATTTTGGATTCTCATTAGGTATTTAATGTCTGTATATAAAATTATTAATATTGAACCATTTTTCAGTGTAGCCCCCAAAAAACGATTCAATAAAAATTTCAGTATGTTGGAAATTATGGGCAAGTATATTAACCAATTTTGCTGTAATATTTTTTTTTTTGGATTTTAATCGGCGGAGAATGTCCCTACCAAATATGGTCAATATTGGTCCACTTTTTATGGTAGATCTCATGTTGCGGTACCAAAAATGATTAACATTGCTCCTCGTTTCAGTACGGCCCCTACTTGTGAAGGATTTTTCGTTATAAATCTGTTGGATTTTAATGGGCGGAGAATGTCCCTACCAAATATGGTCAATATTGGTCCACTTTTTATGGTAGATCTCATGTTGCGGTACCAAAAATGATTAACATTGCTCCTCGTTTCAGTACGGCCCCTACTTGTGAAGGATTTTTCGTTATAAATCCTTAAAAGTCGTAGAACTATTCAATAGCTAACGATGGTGTAGGATAACGCGAGAAAAAATATTTTTTGGTTCACACCAAATCTCTCTCTAGAGATTGTGCAGATCTGTCCTTACGAGTCTGGGTGGTGGAACACTATGCGTGTTCCGCCGATAGCGCCTAAGCAGGTACTGGATTGACAAAATGATGTTGTTTCGATGTAAATGGTCCACTGGTGTCATAAGTTGGTATCCTGTCGTAGTTCTCAGAACGGGTTGTAGACTAACTTGTTTGTGAATTCCACATATGACTGGCAACCACACATATAATTGATTATCCAAACTTTTGAACTAGGTCGGATTCTGGTCTTCTCTATGTCCGCGAACAGTTTAGCGGAATGAGAAATTACGTACAGTGGTGGAGAGTATAGAAACGCATATATCTTCCAAGAGGATTTTGTAAACCGCAAAGATCCAGAAATAAAAAGTTTCACAAAATTTGAAAAGGTTGCAATCTGGATCGGCTGCTTGCAAAGAGACTCCGGTGACAGATGAGCGGGTTTATCTGCACAAGACATATGTATGGTTTTGAGCTGTCAACGCGGGCCTAATTTAGACGACTGCAGTAACCTGATCTTGATTGGGTTAAATCCACTCTAGTCTGTCCACATATGACTGGCGACCACACATATAATTGATTCTCCAAACTTTTGAACTAGGTCGGATTCTGGTCTTCTCTATGTCCGCGAACAGTTTAGCGGAATGAGAAATTACGTACTATGGTGGAGGGTATAAAAACGCATATATCTTGCAAGAGGATTTTGTAAACCGCAAAGATCCAGAAAGAAAAATTTTCACAAAATTTTAAAAGGTTGCAATCTGGATCGGCTGCTTGCAAAGAGACTCCGGCGAATGTTTTATCATACGGCCAATAATGCTCTTTGCTACTTGTGACAAAAGGTAAATAAGCCTGTACGATTTTTTCTCGTTGGGGACATCTTTAATCGACGTACAAAACATGGTGCTATCAGTTTGGACGGAATGTCAAAAACTCATTAAAACATTGAAATCCCCTAGAACCCGTCGATTATTGCATGAAAACTCCCGAAGGAGTTTTCATATATGTACTCTATTAGGTCAAAGTTCGGAGATATTGCGTTATATTAACCAAATATGTTAAAAAATAAATTTCGAGAAAAAAGAACTTGGTTTCTAAATTTTGAACCGGGTAGTCAGATAATAAAACCGATAATAGACCGGTTCAATATATTTTGCACGTTTGTTTACTAGCTTTCTTATGATATGCATATACGGTATTGAAACCGTAATTATTATCCGAATATCCGGTTGAAACGTTTTAGAAAAACCGGTTCTTTTTTTAGAAAATAATTCGGTTTACCTCATTCGATTTTAGGTCAAAAAATATGTA